TTATTTCCCCTTCCCAATCTCCTCACTTGACAGTTCAATGAGGGTGGTGTATTTACGTACGAATTTATCAGCTACCGCCTCTAATGCTCAGCTATCTACCCCACTTCCCCCAGGCCAAAACTGGGGCAGCTATAACTACTGTACGACAGGTATGCAGTTCTTACAGCTGACACTAATAATGATGCTGATGGTGATGATGATGATGATGATGCTGATGATGATGATGATGATGATGATGATGATGATGATAAGCGGCGAAACCTGACACCTTCGTTAGCTGTTGTCCCAGGACTTGGCTGGTCTCAGCCTACTCGCAGCGTGGCACTCAGAAAATCAGAGATTACTTGTGGCGCAGAGAATTTCGATAAAACAGAGAAGCGGCCGTATCGGGATAGTCCGGTGCCGCGTTTATGGAGCTTTTGTTCACCAAAAAGTGCTGTGACCAACGTTTGACTCGGGAAAAAGCGCGTGAAAGTGATCAGGAAAAGTCTGGATGCGACCGGCGTGACGTTTTGTGTGACCAGACTGTCTGATGCTTGGATTGCATCAAAGCCTGATTGTCAATCGTTTTGTATCATTCTTAATCAGTCTGTATGAACGAGTGTCTGGAGTTGCGAACACCTCCATATGCGTGTGGCAGACTAGCACTGAATTCCTTACCTTCTTGCTAGGGCGATCTATTAATATAGGAGAGCGAAACGGCTCAGAGCGCAAATTTACTGACCGGAAGGTCCGTGGTTCAAATGCGATCTCTGTATCTCGACTTCTCCTGTCCAGGCTTTGGCAATCTGGCAGTACCTCAGCACCCCTTCTTCATTTGCGTAGCATGTGCAGCATTGAGAAAATACGACATTACACAGACAACTCATCATTTATTAAAATGACGGCTGTACGACATGTGTGCTAGATAGCCCAGTAGTTAAGGTGCGAACCTACTGACCGTAAGGTCCGTGGTTCGAGTACATCTCGACTGCTTCTGTCTGGGCTTGGGCGACCTGGCAGTAGCTCAACCCCATTCGGTTGGTATGGCTACTGTGCACTGAAAGGGTATTACAGACGAACGATTATTTATTATTACTAGTATTGGTACACGGAGATGTCGACTTTTGATGGTGTAACTCACTACTTTGTGACATACCGC